ACCAAAATGTAACGAAAAAGTTGCGTTAACTTTCGTTAAGTTAACGTTAACTTAACAGTTACTTTTTCTGAAAAGTTAACGTTTCAACTTAACCGTTAATATTTTTTGCCAATTTAACTTTAACTTAACGATTGAACTTTTTTGGTTAACTTTCCGAACCTTGCGCGAGGGCAGGGGGCAGCCAGGGCAGCGCAGCGGTGCGTACCATACACTTGAGGGCCCGCTCTGTGCTATTAGAGATTGAGGGTGGGGAGGGGACTTTGCTCTCTGGTGGAGACAGTCTTTAGGAGACTGTTTGAAAACACTAGTTGACTCTTGTCTAAGCCATCCCGCGTCTACCAGGTCCCAGCTGCGCCGTCGACGGCTCCTGGGTAGGAGGGCATCTGGGGCTACAGCAAGCCGCCGCCGCCATCCGGGAGGGGCGGTGCGACGCCGCACTCGTCGTGGCCGGGAGCATCAGCCGCTTCGGCGAGACCTCGCTGCTGCTCAACAAGCTGGGGCTCGCGACCGACGAGGGGGTCACCAGGAGCTTCGACGCGAAAGGTAAATGAAGTGCGTAACCAAACACACTGTATCGCGACTACCAGCGCGACCTCAACGTTTTGCTCCTCTTGCAGGAACCGGGGCGGTGCGCAGTGACGGGGCCGTCGCTTTGTTCCTGCAGCGCGCCGACCAGGCCAAGCGGTGCTACGCCAGGGTGCTGGCCACCGAGGTCGAGTTCATAGGGCCGAGATGCGACCTGGACCTCACACTGCCCAGCCCAAAGGGCACCCGAGACTTTCTGCAGCGGATGTACAAGAAGCACGCCATCGACCCCAAGACGATGGCCTACCTGGAGGCCGACGGCAACGGCAACCGCATCCGGGACGCGTGCGAGCTCAACGCCATCGACCAGGTGCTGGTCCAGGAGGCGGGGCGAGAAAGCCCCCTTCAGATAGGCTCGGTCAAGAGCAACATCGGACACGTCGACTGCGTCAACGGCTTGGCTGCGATCTGCAAGATGGTGGTCGCCATGGAGACAGGCGTCATCCCGGCCACAATCAACTTCCAGGAGCCCAACAGCGAGGCCACGGGTTTGGTAGCGGGCAGGCTCAAGGTGCGTCTCCAAGGGGCTAGGAGAGACTTTCTACCTTAACAGGATCATGACCTCTACGTACTGCTGCAGGTCGTAGACAAGAACACGCCGTTGCAACTGTCCGAGGACAGCGTCCTGGCCGTCCACACCATGGCAGTCTCCTCCATGGTGGGACACACGGTGCTCGGCGGCAACCCTCGCGGCCCCGGCCGCGTCCAGGACCCCGCCGACCACCTGCCGCGCCTCGTCACCTTCTCGGCCAGGACGGAGGAGGCTGCCGCGAGCATCGCGAGCAAGGTGAGTCCATAAGTCGCACCTGCACAACCAGATCGATTAGCGAGAGAGGAGCTGCATAACATCTTGTTCTTAAAACACAGATACAATCTGCTCCATTTGACACAAACTACTACCGCTTGCTCCACGATGTGTACAATGAAGACATCAGAGGGTACAACTACCGGGGCTACGTCATCTGCCCCTCCACCGGGAATGACACTCTTATCGCGGTAAGTCCCAAGTAACAGAGATTCGTCTGAAACACGTCAATTTAAAGTGTACTGACGTCACTATTAATAAGTCACGTTGTGTTACTTTGCGATGTTTGACGTCATTTTGACGTCAAATTGACGTAATCTTGACTCTCAACAGTCACGTTTATGTCACTTATGACCTAAAAGAGTCAATATTACGTCACTTTGACGTCAAAATTACGTCAATTATTGCGATTTTAAACACGTCAAAGTGACGAAATGGTCGTGACGTCAGTATACTTTAACTTGACGTGTTTCAGACGAATCTCTGTTACTTGGGGTTGAGTGCAGTGGCTGGTCGTTTTACTGGCTACAATCACTAACGAGCTTCTCATCGACAGTCGCTGGAGAAGAGGACGGTTTGGTTCGTGTACTCGGGCATGGGCAGTCAGTGGGCGGGCATGGGCTCGGCGCTCATGAAGCTCCCCGTGTTCGCCGAGACCATCGAGCGCCTCCACGCCGTGCTGGAGCCGCGCGGGGTGGACCTCAAGGACATCCTAACAGACACGGGGCCGACAGCGTTCGACAACATTCTCAAGTCGTTCGTGGGCATCACCGCCTGCCAAGTCGCGCTCACCAACGTGCTCACGGCCATAGGTGTCGTCCCGGATGGCATTGTAGGCCACTCCGTAGGCGAGCTGGGCTGCGCCTACGCCGACGGCTGCGTCACGGAGGAGCAGGCGATCCTGGCCGCGTTTTCACGAGGCACGGCCTCCAACGCGGTCCAGCTCATCAAGGGCAAGATGGCCGCGATCGGTATGGCCTTCTCCTGGACTCTCCCCCTCCCTTTCTTCCCCCATTCGCAATAACTTCGTAATTCTTGCCCAAAGGACTCGGCTACCAGGATGTGCTCCCCCGCCTTCCCCCCACAATCGACGTGGCCTGCCACAACTCGTCCACCAGCTGCACGCTCTCCGGCCCCGCGCAGGACGTGGATGACTTTGTTGAGAAGCTCAGCGCCGAGGGCGTGTTCGCCCGGGGCGTCAATGTGTCCGACCTCGCGTATCACTCGCGGTACATCCAGCCCGCCGCCCCGCTGCTGCTGCAGCACCTCAAGGAAGTTATCCCGGAGCCCAAGCCCCGCTCTTCCAAGTGGATCACGACGTCGGTGCCCGTCGACAAGCGGGTAAGACTTTCGACCTCGCTTTCGACTCTCGCCAAGCCATTTTCGACCATCGGATATAAAGAGCCATTGACGCCTCATTTCAGGATAGCGAGCTGGCCAAGTTCTGCTCGGCCGAGTACCAGACCAACAACCTGTTGAGCCCCGTGCTGTTCGAAGAGGCGCTCCCGTTCATCCCCGAGCAGGCCGTCCTGATCGAGGTGGCCCCTCACGGCCTTCTGCAGGCCATCCTGAAGCGTGCACTGCCTGACAATGTCCACATCCCCCTCACACAGCGAGGCCATGCCGATCCCCTGCGATTCCTGCTCGCCGCCATCGGCAGGTCGGTGTATATTCTTAGGACCTACTGTACTAAGCTTATTGTATGGAATTATTCTGAAGCTAGATTGTGTGTAGTTTACAAAAGGCCATCTGCCGTATCCAAAGACAGACTCACAACCTGATTATAATTTAAATGTTAGTTGCAGGAAAACACTGTAATCAGTGACAATTATCGTCTAAACTCGTGTCCACGGAAGTCATATATTTAAACCTCCTCAGTGTGCCAATATAAATCTAATCGTCTTACGTTTTGAAAACAGGATGTCCTTCTCATCCATTGCTCCCAAGGTATCTGCCCTGTATCCTGAAGTAGACTTTCCTGTGCCTCGAGGTACACCAGCTGTGGCACCGCTAGTGACCTGGAGAAGTGACCTGACGACATATCATGACCCATTTAACATGGTGGGATGGGTGAGTATACATAGATTAAGAAGTGCATAGTTAGAGTATAAATTAATTAATAAAAATCGACACATTTGCTACATCCTAGTCAAAGCCTCAATGGAAAGACGACACTATGTCATTATCTATGTAGTCACCCTGCCAATATTAATTGTATTGTTTTGTATTCTGTGTGGCCAGCAAATGACGGGAGTACAATTAAACAACGACTCCGTCTCCGTGAAAGTCGATGGGTCACGCATTTACCCGTTATCGGAAAAACTTGTGAGTCGACGCAAAAAAATACGTATTTTTTTTCACCAATGTTTACCAACAAAACGAAATCTCCGAAAATCTCTTGTAGGTTCTGATGTGGCAATCTGCCCTAAGTAAAGAACAGGAAAATGCTGGAAGTTCCTCTATATCATTTCAAGACATACTCGTGAAACAGTGGATCGCTCTCCCTTCTCACGGTTAGTTTGTGCACTTTTATGCTCATCCCAAATAATACGGAAACGTCTCAGATCAATGAAATCGTATTCAGGGCATTGAAAGCACCATCGCGAAAACGTTCTGACCCACAGAGACCAAGTTCCTTCAGGCACAGTACATGCAGGGCACAAAGGAAACTCAGGTCCTGTACAACGGCGTTGGAGAGAAGCTCTGCGCCTTGGTGGTAGGTCACGTCCACATCATGGACTCCGGCGTGGAGGTGCCGCACAGTCCTGCCGTCCGGGAGCTGAAGGAGGACTCCGTCGACGTCTCCAAGCACCACTTGTACCAGAAGCTGGCCGCCATGGGACTGGAGTACACGGACACGAACAAGACCATCACGTCGATCCGGATGGGACGCCGAGGTTGGTGACCTTTGCGAGCGTTGAACTGTCTCGTGTCCGAAGTGATGCGAGTGTAGGATTGTGTTGTGTTGTGCTCCCCAGGCTGGCTGGTCAGCGTGGCGCCCCACGACTCGCTCGCCGCCACCCTCGAGACCGTGCTGCAGGTGTACATACTGAGTTCGTTGAACGAGGGCCATAAGGTGCGCCTGCCGTACAGGATACGCCGGCTAGATATCGACCCGACCATGCTGAAGAATCAGACAGCAGGTAATGGATCGGCTGCTGTGACTGATGCTTGTTGATGCCCTCACCCCCACCATGACGCACCCCTCTCTGCTCAGGGTTGTCGCTGCACCTCGACCTGGCCACCGGCGTCCTGTCGGGGGCGGGCGTCAGTGCGCACGGCGTCGTCCTGCGGGAGCGCACCGAGTCCGCCGCGGCGCCGGTCGCGTTGGCGGTGCGGCACGTGCACCTCGGCGATGACGTCGTGCGACTGCAGTTCTTGGGCGTGACCTCGCTCAGCAGCAAACGCGACGGCGGCCCCACACACCTGGACTACGTGGGCGTGCTGGAGAACGGCGCCGAGGCCATGCGGGTGATGGGCGTGGGCCGCTGGTTGCCCGACGACCGGGTGCCACAGCTGGACGCGGTTCTGCGCTGGCCGGTCCCGGCGAGCTGGTCCACCCGGGACGCCGCCACCGTCCCCTTCGTGTACGCGCTCGTGTACCACGCGCTGCAGGTGCAGGCGGGCGCGCGCCGCGGCGAGTCCATCCTGGTGCACGAGGGCGCCTCCGCCGTCGGCCAGGCCGCCATCCGAGTGGCGTGCCAGCTGGGCTGCGCCCCACTCTACACCACGGTGGCCAACAGCCGGGAGCGCGCCGCGCTGCTCGCCATGTTCCCCCAGCTGCAGCCCGCCCAGGTGCTGAGCTGCGGCGACGGCGGCTCCTTCGAGCACCGCCTGCGCCTACTGACCCGCAACCGCGGGGTGCGCCTGGTCGTCAACACGCTCGCGGGCGCCGAGTTCCGCGCGTCCCTCCGCTGCCTCGGATTCTTTAGCCGCCTCATCAACTTCTCCCGCGAGAACTTGCAGGAAGAGAGCATAGGTGACCCAGCCATCGCAGTCTGCGTTGCCCTACCCTTTCCTTGGCCATGTATCACCTCTCACACGCTACTCGTTTGCCCTTGGCCTCAGGTTCTAACGTCTTCCTACGGAGTACTGGCGTGTTCGGCTGCTCGGGCAGCGAGCTGTTCCATGCCACCGAGGCCACCCGCCGCAAGGTGGTGGACGCCGTTGCCAAGGGGATCCGCGACGGCGCGGTGCAGCCCATCGTGGGGGCCGAGGACTGCGTCGGTCTGCAGAGGTAGGTCCAGTCTTTAACACGTCCCCAGCGTTGTTTACCAAATTATATCGGCTTCTTGTTGCGGAGAACGTTTATTGGCAGTTGTGCGGTGTGTGTAATTTCACCGCATCTTTTTATCTCAGAACCCACAATCCATTCAGAGGTAGTAGTAATGATTCTAGGGACCTTCAACGCGAGTATGATTTCAGTAATAAGGTTGGATATTACCAAAAACTTCCAGAAAATTTTCAAGTGCTTCCTTCCAACCCTTTTTATTGAGTCGGTGAAACGTTTCCTTGCCTACCACAGCGCGGCGCTCAGGGCGGGCCGCCAACTTCACACAGCTGCTCGGCGGGCTGGCCTACCCAGTGCCTAGCAGGCGGCTGTGGTAGACACACCGAATGGGGCTTTCTGAGAACCGTAGCCCACCAGGGCCAAAACTGCAGAGAAAAACTAAAACCCGGTTTTCTTCTAGCATTCGTGACCTGGTGAAGGGGACGAAAGCGGTCATAGAGGTGAACAGCGCGATGACAGAGTCCAGCCACTGCGACTCCCACGATTTCCACACCGTAAACGGTAGGTGTCTCGGCAGAACCTAGAAGCGCCAATGCGAATACAATGAGCCAATGCGCTTTAAAAAGACCCTCATTTCCATTTTACGCATTAAATTCGCATTTTACGCCCTAATGCGCACTAAACGGGCCAAAATTGTGGAACCTTTAAAGCGCATTTTTATGTGCATCACCGACTGGCGCTACTAAGAAAGAAAAGCCGAGGCTGGCAGCATCGTTGAGGACACAGCTTAGCAATATCTTTGCCTGCGCAGGTCACCGAGTAGCGGGTAAGAAAGCACCCAGTCGTCTGCCCCCCCTTGGAGACCTGTTCCACAACTCGTCCCTCGAGGTCCTGCCCTCCGCCAGCGTGGACCAGGGCAAGGGGGCGGACAAGGACTTGTCCCTGTCGCTGACGGTGGACGCCCTTGCTGCGCTCAGCAGCGCCGACAGCCAGCGTTCGCGGAGGCCACGGATCGTAGAGCTGACCTCGCTGGGCCCGGCGTCGCACTCCTCGCGGGAGAACCGCAACCTGTTCGTGCTGCCGCCGCTCAGCGTGCTGGACCCAGCCTCCAAGAGCCAGCTGGCCGGGCTCGCGGCCAGGCTGTTCAGCCCCGTGCTGGTGGTGGAGACCACGCCGGGGGACAGCGTCCAGGTCGCAGCCAAGGCCGTGGTGCAGACGGTGCTGCAGCGCCAGCCTCACGGGCCCTACAACCTGCTGGGCTGGCGC